ACCTGCCACTGCTTATATGTCTCAGGCCGTTCAACGCGCTCCCAGCCCTCACAAGCTATGACATTCAATGCTTCCCTCCCAAAAATGTCTCTCTCAATTAATAGTCTTTCCGGTTTTTCACGTGGTACATTCACTTCAAGCATATCAAATAATGCAGAGAAATGGAACAGAACCTCCCGGAATCGGGTGACAAAGAATGGTGCACTGTACGCCCCATTGACAATTCCATGAATGAAAATATCCGGATTTATTTTCCTGAACATGTTAAAAACAATAGCTCTTGAACTCTGTGCCACGACTGTTTCATCAAATAAGTTCTGGGTTCGGTACAAACAGTTGACAATGAGAAATTCACCATCTTCAATCTTAAGATCCTCTATTTTGATGGTTTCCCACCTCTGTGCTATGGCATTGTACTCAAATGGCACGTTAAAAATTTCAGCATAATAAGCCAACCGACGCCCTGTCTCTTCAATTCTTTCTGCAGGTTTGAATCCAGGTTGAGGAAATTCTACGCCAGTAATCCGAACACTTGGAGGACCATATTTCCTTCCAGCAATACGTTGAAGAAAGGTAGGCCACTGGAAACCATAGAGGATACCAAAATCTATGACGTGAACTCTTGTTGCTTTTTCTGCCTTCAGCTGAATTGTCTTATTCGAGACAAAACTCGAAATCTTCCAGAACGGAGATGATGCAAGATATAAGTGGAAAGCTTTTAAGTAATCAGCTGCAGTTGTTCTTTTACTGACAAGAGCCTTGTGTATCTGGCTACCAGTGCCAGCCAAACGAGCTTGAAGGCCATCGGCAAAATAATAAGACAGTCTCTGATTTCCATCACCACATGGAGAAGAATGCTGCCTAATTTGTTTCAAAAGTTCATTAGCACTCCGACGATCATCAGCAGCCACAGCTTGCGCACAGTTAATTAAAAGGGTTCTCAAATCTATCACTTCCTTTTTGTTATTCTGCTTCTTTCCTCGCCCCTTCCCCCTCGATCCTTTTGTTTGCCTGGATTGCTGCACACTCTTGCTTGTAGCATTCCGAAGGTCTGCTCTGTAGGCCGCCAACTTCTTTTCACCTTCCCCCATGCTATGAAGCAAAACAATACTGAATTCCTCTTCTGGGATGTTAGATTCCGTATAGATTGATGGCTGCTTGCTAACTCTCTCTTCTTCTAAATCTATATCCCGTGTATGAGGATTTTTATTTCTTCTCGATTCAGATGGCAAACATTCTGCGACATCTTTCATTTCCACCTTAGTTGCCACATCGTCACATTCTCCT